CGACTGCTGGGGTGGTAGTGGCCCCCATTTTTAATCCCAGCACAAGAGTCCTGCCTCAATAAATAAATAAATGTACTGGACTCTCTCTTTCTCATGGTCTGCCTCCAAAGTGTTGGGATTAAAGGCATTTGCCACCACTGCTGGGCCTTTTTTTTTTTTTTTTTTTTAAGGCAAAGACTTGCTCTGTAGCCCAGGGTGTCCTTGAACCTGGGATCTTTCTGCCTTTTCCTACTGAGTACTGATGTTGCAGGTCTGAGTCTCAATCTTTTTATTCTTTTGTTTTTTGGGGGGTGGTGGTGGTACAGGTTTCACTGTGTAGCCCTGGCTGTCCTGGAACTCACTCTGCAGAGTAGACTGGCTTTGAATTCAGAGATCTTCCTGCCTCTGCCTCCTGAGGGCTGGGATTAAGGTGTGTGCCACCACCACCCAGCCTCAGTTAATCTTTTTAGAACATTACATTTACTTATTTTTTGTGTAGACATGACTGTGTAATGGGGGATGTATGGAGAGCAGATGATAGATAACTTGAGGAGTTGCTTTTCTTATACTATGTAGATCCCTGGGATCAAAATCAGGTTAAGTTTGGTGGTAAGCACCATGTACTTTAGGGCCATCTCACCTAGCTGAACTTGGTTAGTCTTCCATGTAAATTGTAAAGAAATAAGAATCTTAGGGTCTAGAATTCCCAGATTCCTATATATCTCTGTTAGTGGTCAGAAGCTCATAATTTCATGAAGCATACAATACAATGAGTATGAATAATTTTAGGAAGTCACTGATGAAATTCATGCCAGTTACATGATTTCCACTCCATTGTTTATAGTGCTGCCCCCAGAGAGACCAAGGCAAAATGATTTTCATCGTGATCAGAGATACTTAAAATAGCTGTGTCTCTTCAGTGTTCCCTCTCACTTGAAAGTACTGTACTATGTTCATCTTTCACAGACAAGTCTGTGGGGGTAAAATATGGAGGGAGGTACAAAGCAGAATATTGGGAAATAGGTGAAATCAAAAGAAAGTTTAGTTCAAGGTAAAAAGGATATTTAGAAGGAATGGGGGCTGGTAGATGAGTCAGCAGACAGTTTGAGAGTAATCGAACCATTTGGAAAGAAACAACATATTCAAGCCAAGGCCCCAGGTTAGTTGCTAGCATTAGAAAAACAAAGCAACCCCAAAAAGTTGTAATTAGGGAGGTTTATTTCTGAATTCCTGCTAACTTGGAGTTCACGCATATAACCTTGCAAGCAACTAAATACAGTCCCCTCAAAAAGGCATGGAAGCAGGAGGGGGAAGAAGGCATTCTATTGTGAGTAGGAAGGGGATAAGAGGATAATGGAGAAGAATATTGTCTAAGTGCAACATTTCTATGTATGAACTTGTGAAAAGGAAGTTGGAATTCTTAATTAGCTTCCTATATCAAAGTAATCTTCACACAGATGCTAAATATAAAACACCTAAAATTTAAAGGGAATGAGTGGGTGTGGTAGGATTACCAGCAATGGGAAGGTTACGTTGATGGGAAGTTTATTAAATTATTTGAAGCCAGCCTGGATCATACAGAGAGTTCTAGGTTAGCCTGAGCTACAGTGTGAGACCTTGTTTTTAAAAGAAAAAGTAAAAAATAGGTGGATTTAGCATTATATATTGTAGCAGGCTGTTTTCCTTAATTTACTAAGACTTTTTTTTTCCAGAGTCTGGACCAGAGCCTCATTATGCATTCTATGCTGGGTCCAAACTCTCAGGGATTCCCCTGCCTGCATCAGTTTTGAGATTACAGGCATGCACCACCATGCCCAGCACATGGAACCAGGTGTGGTAGTGCATGACTTTAATCCCAGCTCTCAAGAAACAGTCAGGCAGATCTGAGTTAGAGGCCAGCCTGATTCATAGTGAGTTCTCCATAACAGTCAAAGATACACAGAGAGACCATGTCTTTAAAAAAAAAAGAAAGAAAGAAATTAAGGCCAGTTTCTATATAACTAGTTGGAGGCCAGCCTGAGCTACATGAAACTCCAAAATTAAAAGTTAATTTAAAATTAAAATGTTAATTTTAAGATCTATTGTAAGTTAACACTGAAAAAATAAGGATGGACATTAACACCTATTCAATTTTTAATTATAGTAACTTTGAGGGATTACTGAAACAAGATCTATCTAATTTTATGCCCATAACTGGTCTGCTACTCACTACGTAACACAGACTGACCTCAAATTTACAATGATCCTTCTGCTGGGATTACAGAACTATACTATACCACTATGATTAATTTTCTAATAAATGAACAAAATAAATAAAAATTAAATGGCTAACTATAATTCAGAGTGGTACAATAGGAAAAGGAGTTTGATAATATCCAGTATTGGCAAATGTATAAATAAGGGAGTAGGCAATTTCATAGAATTGAGTAGAATATAAACTGTGAGCTTTTTAGAGGATAGTCCAGCAATTCCAGTATTTTAAATGTCCATACTTCTACCCAATTTTTGGTACAGGATGTTACTATATGATTCTGACTGGTCTAAACTCTGATGCCTCAACACAGATCTCCACCTGACTTTTCCTCCTCATTTCTAGGATTAATGATGAGGGCCATATTATCCCACACTAAATATTCACAATCTTCATCAGCAGTTCCACTGCTAGTACTTTTTCTTAAACTTGAAAAGCTGTCTTATTTAATTTCTTCATTTTTAAAAATTTGTATTTGTATTTTGGGGACAGGGTCTGACTGGGTAGCCCTGGCTGGCCTGGAACTCACTATGTAGACTAGACTGACCTCAAATTCACAAAAATCTGCTTGCTTCTGTCTCTTGAGTACTAGGAATAAAGGTGGAACTTGTTTCTTTTCTTTTTTTTTTTTTTCAGTGATCTTTGTAGAGTCCTGGAACTTAGTACTTAGATCACACTGGCCTCAAACTGAGCTGTTTCCTCAACCTCCTGAGTGCTAAGATTAAAGGTCCATACCATTATACCAGGCATACCTTCAGCATTTGATGAAGAATTGAAGATCTGAGTTTCTGAAGTGAGAGGTGTTAAGATTCACCTGGAGAAAATGAGTACTCTACTAGAAAATGAGTAAAATCTAGGGAGCAAAAATCTATTCACAGACACATCCCCTATGGAGGGATACTGCCTTAATCTAGAGACAGGAGAGAAGTCCTAGTCCCTACTTATGACCTGTCAGATCTACATGACTCCACCTGGATGGCATTGCCCTACATGTGGAATTGGGGTGGGGGGATAGAAGGGGATGATGGTCAGGGTGCATGTGAGGGGGGGGGAGAGGGTAAAAGGGAGGGAGGGAAGGAGGGAGAGGGAACTGGGATTGACATGTAAAATAATAAATAAAAAAAAATCTGTTCACAGATATATGGTTGAGTGGCTAAGGGCACTTGCTACTTTTGCAGAGTTAGATTCCCAGAACCCATATTGGGCACCTCATAACCACTTTAACTCCAGCCCAAGGGAATTCAACATGATCTTTTGAACTTTGTGGGAAGCCATACAGCTGTGGCATATGTACACAGAGACATATACACATGAATAAAAATTTAAAAACTTTAGCTGGGCGATGGTGGTTTTAGTGGCAGCTCACACCTTTAATCCCAGTGAGTTTGAGTCCAGCCTGGTCTACAAGAGCTAGTTCCAGGATGGCCTCCAAAGCTACACAGGGAAATCCTATCTAAAAAATTAAAAAAAACAACCTTTCAAACCCTCAACTTTTGTGATGGAGAGTATATCATGAATAAAGGGGCAGAGGGAAATCACTGTCATATTTTTAGAATTTAAAAACTTTTAATCATTTTTTTGGAGTCATTCCATAGCTAAAAATAACGTGGAACTCTCAGTATATGTAAGGCTGGTCTGGAACTTGTGGCAATCATCCTTTAGCTTTCTAAGTGGTAAGACTACATGAGCCACCTGATTTTAGAACCATTCCTTGATATTTATTCATGCATCAGGTATTTGTATTGGCCAAAATTTTAAACTCATAATACTTTCAAGTCCTAATGTTCCTTGCCATTTAGGGTAGCAGATTGAAACATGTATATTGATAATTACAGTGAATTGTGAGTAAAAATGTGATGGACATAAGTGATGGTACCATAGGGGTAGAGAAGAGCGAGGACAGCTATTTTCTGGCTTACTTTTTACAGTAAGTAGCCTTATGAAAGATATAGTTCTTTTATAACTACTGCTCCATGTTTTGTGGAAGTCTAGGTGAGCCAGTTTACAGCAGACTTAACTAGCATAGTTGGAGAAGTCTCAGTGAGTTAATATCTCACTGTTCAGTTCTGAAACATCTCCATATTTCTGAAATCTGTGTACATCATTTATTTGAATGCAGTGTATGTGTGTGTTTAATCTTTTAAAGGTGTGCATATAAGGGTGGCATAGCAGTTAAAAGTACCTGTAGCTTTTTCAGGGACCCCAAATTTGGTTACCAGAACTCACGTTGGGTGGCTCACAACCACCTGTAAGTGTAGTTCTAGAGGGTTCTGATATCTCTGGTCGCTAGGCACTTTTAGTCACATATATAGGCAGACAGACAGATAACAATTAAAAAATCTAAAAGAGAAGTGCATATAGGGGCTGGGATCTAGCTCATTTGGTAGAGTATTTGCCTATCATGCATGAAACTCTGGGTTCAGTCACCAGCAGTGCATAAAGTTGAGTATGGCAAGCATACTACTGCAATCCCAGTCCTCAAGAAAGGGAGGCAGGAGGATAAAAGCTTCAATGTTTGTTCCATTACATGGGGTTTAAAGCCAGCCCAGGGTCTAATCTAATACATTATTATTATTTTGGTTTTGAGATAAGGTTTTGCTATGAGACCAGCCTGGACACATGTAAGCTCTTAAAGCATCTTCTGACCTTGCATTTCGGAAGCTGCTTGTTGTCAGCATTTATTGGAGAGTTTTGATATTTTATGGCCTGTGTTGTTGGTAACTCTCACTTTAAAAGCCTCTTTCCCCCTCCCCCCCAGTTTATTCTAACCATGGATTCAAGCAGCAGCAGTGATGAAGACTGTGACGCCTGTAAGTAGAGCCCTCTTTCAATAGTAATGCACACCAAGTGTCTTTGTAGAGATGACTGAAATGATATTTGGGACACTAGGATTGATCTGGTCCTAAGTTTGCCCCCTCTAGTGTTCTCTCTGGGTTGCTGAAGTGAAGTTTATTTCCCCACTGTCAAAAGCAGTTTTCTATGTTTTCTTTATGGGTTGTTTACCCTCCCCTTTTTTTTTGGTTCCTGAGTCTTCTTTCATTTCCTCTCAGTCTTTCTTGGGGGATATAAATTCTTTTCTCTGTTCCATTTTCCTCCCTCTCTTCTTTTCTTTGGTTTTCTTTAGGCATGTGTTCTACTACTGACCTATGTCCATAGTTTTAGGGGAATATAAATTTTACTAGCTCTAATTTATAAACTTATAAAGTAGTTTTCAGGAGTAAAAGACTTTCCTTTTTTTTTGTTTGTTTGTTTTTTCAAGACAGGGTTTCTCTGTATGGCTTCAGAGCCTATCCTGGAGCTTGCTTTCTAGACCAGGCTGGCCTTGAACTCACAGAGATCTGTGTGCCTTTGCCTCCTGAGTGCTGGGATCAAAGGCAGGCATAGGCATTGCCTTTGATACTAGGTTTTATCATGCTTCCTAATGCTTTTTCTTTCCTTTATTTAGATATGTCTGAATTACAGGAGAAAAGATCCAGGTAAGGAGAACTGTTGAAACTTGACCTTAAAAAACAAACAAACACCTGCTGTTCTGGGTAAGAAGATTTAAGAGTAAATGTCACATTCTCTGAGAATAAACACTACGTGGTACTGTAGCTGTTTGACTTCATAACCAGTTTTAAACTATGTGATTCTTGCCTTTGGCTATGTTTAACTGTTCAGATTGTTGCATTTGTTTATTTATAATTTTGGCTTTTTTTTTTGGGGGGGGGACAGGATCTCACTGCGTAGTCCTGACTTTCCAGGAACACTATATAGACCAGGGTGGCCTCTGATTCATAGAGATTTGCCTGCCTCTGCCTCCTAACTGCTGGGATTAAAGACATGCACCACCATACTTAGCTAGTTTTTGGCTTTTTGAAACAGGGTCTCATGTAGCTCTGGCTGATCTGGACTCACTATATAGATAAGGTTGGCTTTGAACTTGTGGCCTCTGGCTCTGCTGCTTAAGTGCTAGGATTATAGGCATGCACCATTATGCTCAGTTTTTTAAAATGTCTTTGAACTGTGATTTTTCTAGTCTCTGTCAGTCAAAAAGTAGATGTTTTGCCTGATCTTGTCTTCTATGATCCAGACTGCATCCTGACTCTAGGTGAATATGCTGAATGTACTGTGATTATATTGGTGTCCAATTCAAATAGTTCATCATATAAAAATCAAGGTGTTTAGCCTAGCATTTATAGCCTTCAGTGATCTGGCCCAGTAAGTTGTGGGAAGTGAGTTAGAAATGCATAGAAATGGGGCAAGAACCAAAAGATGACCATGTACTAGAAATTAAGAGAAACCTTTTTTTTCTTTCTTTCTTTCTTTCTTTTTTTTTTTTCTTTTGAGACACAGTCTCTTTGTAGCCCTGGCTGTCCCATAACTCACTATGTAGACCAATAGACCAGACTGGCTTTGAACTAACAGAAATCCATCTGCCATTTGCCTCTGCCTTTTTGAGTTCTGTGCCAGCAAGAAGACTTTTTTTTTTTAAAGAAAAAATACTTAGTTATCTTTATTTTATGTGTATAAATATTGGCCTGCTTTTATGTATGTGTGCCTAGTGCTCATGAAATCTAGAAGAGGATTTCTGACCCCCTGGAACCAGAATTACAGCCAGTTATAAGCTGCCACGTGGGTGCTGGGAACCAAACCAGGGTCCTCTGCAAGAGCAGCAAGTGTGGGGCTGGAGATGGCTTAGTGATTAAGAGCACTGGCTGATCTTCCAGAGGTTCAAGGTTTGATTCCAAGCCCCCACATGATGGCTCACAACTGTCTGTAATTCCAGTCCCAGAGGACTTGATGCTGATGTTTTCTGAACTTCATATGCACTGCATGCACATACTTGCAGGTCAAAAGCACCCATATACATAAAAATAAAAGTAAATTCATTTTTTAAAAGAACAAGTGTTCTTAACTGCTGAGTCATCTCTCTAGCCCATAGAAGATACTTTTTTTGAGATGGTTTCTTTCTTTGTGTAGCTCTGACTGTCCTGGAATTCACAGAGATCTGCTTGCCTCTGCCTCCTGAGTACTGGAATTGTAGGTGTGTGTCATCAAACTCAGCCTAGAAGAAAGATTCTTTAAGGCTAGAGCAGTAAATAGGATAGATAGCAAAGACCCATCAACTTGATAGCTTAAAAGACTTTATTCATGGTAGAAGTAGATTAGCCTTGATATTTATAGTGGATACAGGAAAGTAAGTATTTGGAATATTTTTCTTTCATCATAAAAGTTTCATGTCCAGGAGATGGATCACTGTGTTAAGATACTTGCTACACAAGCCTGATGACTCGAGTTTGATCACCAGAATCCATGTAAAGGTGAAAGGAGAGAATTGACTTCACAGAGTTGTACTTCACTTTGCGGCACATGCACATTTCCACACACTATATGCCTTCCCCCACAATGATCATTTTTTAAATGTATATCATTCTGGGGGGGGAGTTGTGACTATAACCCTGGAAGGCTGAGGCAGAATTTCTGTGAGTTGCAGTGTATCTTGGGCTAAAGAGTGTGTGCTAGCTAGTTTTTTGTCAGCTTGACACAGGCTAGAATCATTTGAGAAGAAGGAACATGGTTGAGAAAATGCCTCCATAAGATTGGGTAAGGCAGCAGGCAAGCATGTAGGGCATTTCTTAGTGATTGATGTGGGATGGCCCAACCCATTGTGTATGGTGCCACCCTCTGTGCTGGTGGTCCTGGGTTGCATAAGAAAGCCTGAGAAAGCCATGAGGAACAAGCCAGTAAGCACAAGCTTCCCTCTGTGGCTTCTGTATCAGCTCCTGCCTCTAGGTTCCTGTCCATCTGAGTTTCTTTCTTCACTTCTTTTGATGGTGAATGGTGTTATGGAAGTGTAAGCCAAATACTCCTTTTCTCCCCAAGTTGCTTTGGGATTCATCAAAGCAATAGTCATCCTAAATACACCGAAATTGGTGCCAGGAGAGAAGACATTGCTATGATAGAACTGACCATGTAATTTTGGGGTGGGTTTGTGAAAGTACTTTGCATTGAGTGTTCAAAGCTTGATGAGCTGTTCTATGGGAGATTGGAAGATATTTTTGAGAGAAATGCAGGTGGTGAAGGTGTGGTTTGTGAAGTTCCAGACATAAGATTGGAAATCACGTAAAGACTCTATTTGGGCTGTTGCATATTTTGAGTTAAGAATCTGTGGGGCCAGAGAATTGACCCTTTGGAGGAGCCAGAAGATCATAACAGGATCCCAGACATTAGACACTGAATTCTTTACACAGTTGGGAGTGTGGTTTTGCTGTGTTCAGACTGGGACTGTGTCCTGGTTCTTCCCTCTTGAAGTAAGAAAGTGTTTAATATAGATTTGATTTTACAGAAACCCACAGTTGAGAGAGACTTTGAAATTTTAAGAGATTTGTGGAATTTTACAAAGACTTTGGATTTTTAAAAGAGACTGGATATTTTAGCCAGGTGGTGATGGTGCACATCTTTAATCCTAGCAGGAGAATCTCTATGAGTTCAAGTCTAGCCTGGTCTACAAGAGGTAGTTCTAGGACATTCTCCAAAGCCAAAGAGAAGCCTTGTCTTGAGATGGGGGGGGGGAGAAGAGACTGAATTTTTAAAAATTGTTTGGAATTTCAAAGACTGGAACTTTTAAATTTTGTTCATAGTGTATTAATGTGTGATTTTGGTGATGAATAAGAAAGGAAAGGTTGTAGCTTAACAGTGACATGTTTGGGTCAAGTTACAAGAGGTCAGGGTGAAAACCTTTCCTCTATGGTTCTCAACTCTATAAGCTCCCCAATGAGTTTTTTCCCTGCCCCCAGAACTATGTAAGTACTTGCACTCTGACAAGGCCCTGTTTACTCTTGGTAGCTGACAGATGTCTCCTTTGGGTAGGTTGTAAGAAAAGGTAAAGGTGTATAGAGAAATTAGAAATAATTGAAAGGTTGTAGTTCCAATGAAGGGAAACAGAGAGATTCTGCTTATTGTAGAAAATAGGAAAATGCCCTGAAGGAAAGAACATTGTGCTCATATTTTTTTTCTGTTTTTTTCCCCACCTTATTATTTAGCTGTGTGGACTCTGATTCTGACTCTCCTTGTGAGAAAAAGAGAGCTAAGACCTGTGAAATAAGTGAAGGCAAGTATCATTTTCACTTAGAGAAGTAGCTGAGCTTGGAAGCCTTGTCACATATGGCAGTTTTAGGATCTGACTGCACACTTTTAGTTTATGATGACTTCGTAGCCAGTGCCACTATTTCATTTTGTATCATGTGCCGAAAGTCAGTATGACTGGGTCCCTACACCTTGTTTCCTAATATAGTTGCAGCTCTTCCTGCTGCCTAAGACTTGGGTAGAGTTCTATCTGTCTAGACTCTGTTCCTCCCTCTTCCTCTCTTTCCATTCTTTTTTTTTTCCTTTTTAAAATTTAAATTAGAAACAATCTCATCAATCCCAGTTCCCTGTCCCTCCCATTTTCCCATGCCCCACAACCTCTTTCCATTTTTTTAATAAGTAAGAATGGCAAGAAAGAAGAGAGGGTAAGAGGCATGGCTTAGCTTTCTTTCCAGCTGGGTGGAGACTGGGGTTGAGGGAGGTGCCAGCTACTATCTATTGTATAAGATAGGGTGAACCAAAAGTGCAGCTAGGCCATAATGACTAAATAAAGAAGAACTTTAACTTGATATAAATTAAATACCACTTTATTTATGCAATTGCCCTTGTTTTGCTATGGACCACAAGGCAGCAGGTTTGTGTTTGAGAACAACTGAGCAAGTACCTCATATTGTTTAGACAATGTGATTTTAAAGTGGGCATATTTTCATTGCTAGTTTATCTGTTATTGCTCTTAGTAAAATACAAAATAGAAAACAATCTACAACCACGAATTTTAACTGTGATTCAGAACGTCCAATCACTCAGCCAGTTTCAGTTTAGTTTGTGCTCAATAACCTGCTGATGTTTGTATGTACAGAGTAAGTAGAAAGAGAGTATTTATAGATGTCTCTTGAATTTCAGATGAGTCTTCTTCTGATGACTCTTCTTCTGACGACTCTTCTTCTGATGACTCTTCTTCTGATGACTCTTCTTCTGACAAATCTTCTTCTGACAAGTCTTCTTCTGGCAAGTCTTCTTCTGGCAAGTCTTCTTCTGGCAAGTCTTCTTCTGAGTCCTCTGATGAGTCTTCTGACACTGAGGGCTCCAGTGTTCAGAAGACTTCAGTAATTGTTATTGATGATGAAGATGGCAAACCCCATTTGAGGGATGCTGAGAAGAAAAGAGAGGATTCTAGTGTTGAGTGCCAAATGCCTATGCTTGAAAAGGAGGTAGTTGAATGTATTGAATCTGAGCCCACTTCATCTGATGTTTATGAAATATGGGATCTTGGTGAAAGTTTCAAAGAACCACCACTGGAGCTTGAGCAGGGACCTGAGCCCGAGCTTGAGCTGGAGCCCCAGTGGGAGTTGGAGCCAGAGCCTGAGCTGGAGCCCCAGCGGGAGCCAGAGCCTGAGCCGGAGCCCCATTGGGAGTCTGAGCCAGAAACTGAGCCAGAACCCCAGTGGGAATCTGAGCCAGAGCCTGAGCTGGAGCCTCAGCTGGAGCCCGAGCCAGAAACCAAGCCAGAGCCTGAGCCAGAGCCCCAGTGGGAATTACAGCTGGAGCCTCAGCTGGGGCCCGAGCCAGAAACCAAGCCAGAGCCTGAGCCAGAGCCCCAGTGGGAATTACAGCTGGAGCCTCAGCTGGGGCCCGAGCCAGAAACCAAGCTAGAGTCTGAGCTGGAGCCCCAGTGGGAATTTGAGCTAGAGGCTGAGCCAGCACCCCAGTGGGAATTAGACCCAGAGCCTGAGCTAGAGCCTCAGCTGGGGCCCGAGCCAGAAACCAAGCCAGAGCCTGAGCCAGAGCCCCAGTGGGAATTACAGCTGGAGCCTCAGGTGGGGCCTGAGCCAGAAACCAATCTAGAGCCTGAGCCCCAGTGGGAATTACAGCTGGAGCCTCAGGTGGGGCCCGAGCCAGAAACCAATCTAGAGCCTGAGCCAGAGCCCCAGTGGGAATTACAGCTGGAGCCTCAGGTGGGGCCCGAGCCAGAAACCAATCTAGAGCCTGAGCCAGAGCCCCAGTGGGAATTACAGCTGGAACCTCAGGTGGGGCCCGAGCCAGAAACCAATCTAGAGCCTGAGCCAGAGCCCCAGTGGGAATTACAGCTGGAGCCTCAGCTGGGGCCGGAGCCAGAAACCAAGCTAGAGCCTGAGCTGGAGCCCCAGTGGGAATTCGAGTTAGAGGCTGAGCCAGCACCCCAGTGGGAATTAGACCCAAAGCCTGAGCTAGAGCCTCAGGTGGGGCCCGAGCCAGAAACCAAGCCAGAGCCTGAGCCAGAGCCCCAGTGGGAATTAGAGCTGGAGCCTCAGGTGGGGCCCGAGCCAGAAACCAATCTAGAGCCTGAGCCAGAGCCCCAGTGGGAATCTGAGCCAGAACCTCAGTTGGGGCCTGAGCCAGAAACCAAGCTAGAGCCTGAACTGGAGCCCCAGTGGGAATCCGAGCCAGAACCTCAGTTGGGGCCTGAGCCAGAAACCAAGCTAGAGCCTGAGCCGGAGCCCCAGTGGGAATCCGAGCCAGAACCTCAGCTGGAACCTCAGTTGGGGCCTGAGCCAGAAACCAAGCTAGAGCCTGAGCCAGAGCCCCAGGGGGAATCTGAGCCAGAACCTGAGCTGGAGCCCCAGAAGGAGTCTAAGCCAGTACCCGAGCTAGAGCCTGAGCTCCAACTGGAGTTCAAGCCTGAGCTGGAGCCCCAGCCAGAGTCCAAGCCAGAACCTGAGCTAGAGCCAGAGCCCCTAAAGCCTGAGCCTGAGCCGGAACCCCAGCGGGAGCCAGAGCCAGGGCCAGAGCCTGAGCTTAAGCAGGAACCAGAGCAGGAGCCCAAGCTGGTGCTGGAGCCAGAGCTTGAGCAAGATGTTACAGCCAAAGAGGCTAAGGAGAGAAAGGCTGCAGCTCTGCAGGCACAACAAAGGAGAAAGAAGAGGAAAAATAGATTCATATGTATGGCACCTCCTAAGTCACGTAGGAAACGGCGTCGGGCCATCTCACAGGATGCGCCCAGCCTGCCAAGTGCCTCTGCAGAGCCTAGTGCTTCTGATGATCCCATATCATCAGACCCACCTGATGATCCTGCTGAATTTGTGCCATTAAAGAAACCCAGAGGCAAAAGGGCACGCCCATATAAGTAAAAGAGATCTTTCTGCAAATGGGGGTGGGGGCTCCCATGTCCATCTTAAGCTCTAATATGTTAGCATTTACTGTTCAGTTCCCTGCAGTGCTTTCCCCATGAATTTCCTGTCCCAATGTCTAGGGTTGTCATCATGGACATGCCCCCACGACTCTGGCCAGTTGTCAATTACCCTGTGCAGCCATAAGTTAGGGGGAGTCCTCCCTCCTAGTTTAATAGTTTTAAGAGTTTTTCTCAAGTGTTGTATGTAGCATCTTGCTGAATTTGTCCCTCAGTAGTTGGTTCATAAGAGGACTCTTAATGATTTATTCTTTTAAGGGTCTAGCCTCATGAGTGGGATGTAACAGATGTTTAATAAATGTTAAATAAAATGAGTGAAGTCTCTGGCTGGAGTTATTGGCACTGTGGGTTCTGGAACAGGGTAAAAGGTGAGGTTTTACTTGCAAATTGGGTAAAGGTGTTGCTGGGAATAATGGGTTACATTCATACCAACCTTTAGACGGCATGTGTTATAATTGCTCATGTAACCTTGTCTTCAAGGCAAGACAGAATCTTTTTTTTTTTTTTTTTTTTTTTTTTTTTTTTTCATTTCGAGACAGGATTTCTCTGTGTTCTGGTTGTCCTGGAACTCTGTAGACAAGGCTGGCCTCAAACTCACTGAGATCAGCTTGCCTCTGCCTCCTAAGTGCTGGGGTGTAAACCAGGCCAGCAAGAAAGAATATTATTCAGCTCTCTCTGCTGGTAGTTGGTGATCCTAGATGGAGTCAGTCAGAAGACAACAGTATGCAGACTAGCTGGCCACACAATTTTGTTGGTAGGTGTGTTGCCCTGTGCTTGCCTGGGAGAGCTTTTTTTTTTTTTTTTTTTTTTTTTTTTTGACAGTTTCTCTGTATAGCCCTGGTTGTTCTGGAATTCAATATGTAGCCCAGGCTGTCCTACCCAGAGATCTGCCTGCCTCTGCCTCCCAATTGCTAGGATTAAAGGCCTATTCCTCCACCACCCTGCCAGGGGAGTTTTCTTCAAGAGCTTGATGGTACCAATTTTCAGGGTACAATTAACTATTATCCTTTCAGTTGATAGTGGATGAGAAAATTTGGGGCCTTTCCAGAGGAAACCCATTGCAGCAAAAGTTGAAAATTGCAAGATTGGGTATGTATGCTGCTCTCATGATCACTTGCATGGGCTTTGATTGCACATTCTATTTTTTCCTCTGTTCATCAGTCCAAGGAATACTGGAGACTCCAAGGGATGAAGAAGTCTGGTTGAATGAAAGTTTCTGACACTTAAGTGGGCATGCACATGCAGAGTGATGAGGTCACCTGCTGGTCCCATGTGTCATGGTCATCGTGGTGGGCCCCTCCCCCCAGACAAAGGACCAGGCTTGTGTGCTCTATTTATTTATTTATATATATTTAAAACGATATACTTATTTATTATGTATATGGAGTTCTGACTACATATATGCCTGCATGTGGGAAGAGAGCACCAAATCTCATTATGGATGGCTATGAGCTATCATGTGGTTGCTAGGAATTAAACTCAGGACCTCTGGAAGAACAGTCAGTGCTCTTAACCTCTGGGCCATCTCCTCAGCCCCTTTGTGTTCTCTATTTAAATCCTAGCAGTTACATGGCAGAGTGCTTCCTTCAACCTCACAGCAGCTCTGGCCTCTGAAGTTTCCTTTGTCCTTAAACTCAGGTTCAAGATGAATATATAGCCAAGGTGCTTTTTGGGTTGGACACACCCAGATGGCCATCAGTTTGTACTTATGCAAGCAAACACAGTTGAATGTAATGGCACATTAATCTCAGAGGCAGGACAATTAGTTCAAGTCCATTCTGGGCTATTTGATTTTCTTACCTCAAAAATCAACAAACATTGCATGTAATCACAGTGGAGAAAGAGCTTACTTGTTCTGGGATCAGAGGGAGGGTAGTTAAAACATGTCTTCCAGGTTTTTCTGGTGTTTTCTATGAACACATTTCCTTTTACCATTGTGTATATTTTTGGGTTTTGTTTTGTTTGGCAGGATTGGGTTTAGAACTCTTAGCCTTGAACATGCTCCCAAGCACTCTGCCATTGAGCCATATCCATGCTATCCTGGGACTTTTCAAAGCATCCCTGACTCAGGAAAAAATAAAGTGTTAGGGTCAGGTAGATTGCCTGGAGTTTTTATTTTTTATTAAACCATAGGAAGGAAGCTATCAAAAGCAAGGGATTACATGAGTCAAAGGTATGTTAATACTTAAGATAGAAGTCGATATATTTTCTCATTTAGATTCTAAAAATCTCACTTTTCTCCTAAAAAAATATGATTTTCAATTTTATCTATTTTGAGACAGGATTTCTCTGTGTAGCTTTGGAGCCTGCCCTGGAACTCACTCTGTAAACCAGGTTGACCTCAAACTCACAGAGATTTGCCTGCCTCTTCCTCCCAAATGCATTAATGTGTTAAAGGCATGTATTACCACTACCTGGCTTGTTTCTGTTTTTACTTTCATTTAAGAGTAGTGCACAGTTACTTCTGAATAATCTTTTTGTTTTTGTTTTTTGAGACAGGGTCCTGGAACTTGATTTGTAGACCAGGCTGCCTCTGCCTCCCTAGTGCTGGGATTAAAGACGTGTACCACCACAGCCCAGCTACATCTGAATTATCTTAGAGTATATTTGAAGAAGCATATTTGTGTGTGTGTGTGAACAGTTTTTTGTGTGTGTGGTTTTGTTTGTTTTGTGGTGCTTGGGGATGGAACCAGGTATAGTGGCACATCTGCTAAATCCCAGCAATTGGAAGGATGAGGCAGAATGATTGCCATGAGTTTGGGGCCAGGCTTGCCTATGTGGCAAGAGCCTATCTCCTACAAAAACACTTCCAGAAGGAGAAAGGATTGTAGAAACCAGAAGCGTCAAGGACATCACAAGGAAACCCATAGAATCAACTAATCAGGGTTCATAGGGGCCCAGAGTCTGAAGCAACAACCAGGGATCATGCATGGGACTGACCTAGGGACTGACTCTAAATATATTTGACAGTTGTGTAGTGTAGGTGGAATTTACCCCTCCCAGCAGCCATCTCAAATAACCAACACAGAGACTCAATATTAATTGTAAATGCTCAGCCAATAGCTCAGGCTTGTTACTAGCAAACTTCTTCCTCTTCTTCCTCTCCTTCCTTTGAGACAGGGTTTCTTTGTAGCTTGGAGCTTGTCCTGGAGCTGGCTCTGTAGTCCAGGCTGGCCTCGAGTTAACAGTGATCTGCCTGCCTCTGCCTCCTGAGTGCTAGGATTAAAGGCATGGGCCACCACCATCTGGCAACCCATATTTGTATCTACTCTGTGCCATGTGGCTTGGTACCTTTTCTCAGTGTGGCATGCCCATCTGTTGCTGTCTCCACTGATGACTCCAGACTCTACCCTTCTTCCTCCCAGTATTCTCTTGGTTTGGCCCTCCAGCCCAATCTTTTCCTAGCTATTGGCCAGTCAGCTAGCTTCTTTATTTAACCAGTCATGGTGACATGTATTCACATAGTGTAAAGGAATATTCCACAGCAGTGTAGCTTGGTCTACTCGTGGGACTTCTAACAATAGGAGCAGAGGTCGTCCCTAACACTAGCTCTTGAGAACCTATTCCTCCAAGCCTTTAATACAAAGGGAGGTACTTAGTCTTACTGCAACTTGATATGCCATGATTTGTTGATCCATGGGAAGCCTGCCCCTTTCTGAACAGAAACAGGAGGAGTGGATTGGGGAGAAAAGAGACGGGAAACCAACTGGTTGGGATGTAAAATAAACACATTAAATTTTTAAAAAGCACTAAAAAACAAAATTTTAAAACCCACTGTTGGGTCTGGGGTCATGCAATGATTGGGGACAGACTACCAAAGTCTATTAAACCAGAAGCAAGCTTTATCCCAGGAAAAGGAAAAAAAAAAGCCTCCATGGGGTGCAAAAACTTAACACCCATCGTTGTGACCTCAGCTAGAGTTCGGGCTTCTAAAACTGTGACAAATTGGGTGGTTTTGGGACTCTCCTTTTCATAGTAAGAAGCAAATATTAGTCATGAACAAAAGAGTTTTTACAATCTCAAAGTCTCAGTTACAAATTGCTTTTTTATAATTTTCATTAGTAGAGTTTTTCAGTTAAACTAGTGTTTGTCTCTGACCTTTGAGTCAGACACCTGAACTTCAGTGTCCTCATTTGCAAGATAGAGATGGGAACGAACAGTGATAACTTATTGGATGGGTGATTGTGAGGATTAAATATGATGCAAAAAGAGGCTCCTTGCAAATGCTAAAATGCCATTGGTAGTTCTCAGTAAAGGGCGGGGCCATTCTGTATCATGGGAAATAATTGATGCTGAAGCACCAAAGTGGGAAGGAAATCACAGTTCTCTCCAGGGGATGCTGGAGTTGACCATTTTTAGCAGAGAAGTGTTTGCTGGTGGAAACAGTGGTTAGAACCACATTGACTCAGGCCTTAAATACCAGGCTGACTAGTCAAAGAAAAGCCAGAAGGAAACAAAGTGAATTTGGAGGTGAGTGAGTAGTTGGAGTAGAATGAAAAGAGCCTGGTAGTAAAGAGCACAGTTAGAGAGTTCTGTTGTATTAGGGGAGGACAGGGACTTGATTGGAGAAGTGAGCCTGAGTTGCAAAGGTGCTGCTGGCTGGAAGAGCCCATAGTCCACATCCCAGTTGCATACAGGGTAAGGAAAAGTGAATGTCAAATGCCTCTGAGCTTTTCAGCCAGTTGTGACAGAATTTTAATTATGGAGTCTGTAATGCTAAAGATAGACTCATACATCTGTTGAAAATTTGCATTGAATAACTTAACTGTAAACTCAGAGGTAGGCTGAAGCTGTAGGTGTAGTTATCAGTTTTGAGGCTGAAACCTGGCCTCATACCTTTGAGAATGTGTGCCAAGAGTAAAGAGAATGGAAGCCTGGGAAATAAATGTTCTTATCTAATGAACTGGAAAGAAGGAGCAGCAAGTTATTAGACTTTTACTCATGCATGCCTTCTCTTTAGCCATGCAGCATTCACCTGAACTTACCTTTCCAGGAAATCTATATGCAAAATACCTGGATGTTTCTTGAATAGCATTGAAAAGTTCAAACAGTATTCTGGAAGGAATTTCAAGCACAATAAGGAGGAGCTGGCTCAGAAAAGCTACATACTACTTAACCACACCAGCTTTGATGGAAAGCGTTTTTTTTTTGGGAACCTCTTGTACACCAGCAGTCTTGGCTGCTGCACTAACCATGTGTACTTCATTTCATGTCCTGGAAATATGTTAAAGTATAACTGGACTGCTTCATGGGTAGAAAAGAAAGGTTTATTG